GGGATGCAACAAGAATTATATGTTGTGAATTGGGCAGCTGAGTTATTTGGAGACACTGATCAGATGTGAAAAATTTTTAAAGATAAATTTTTAAATATTCAAGATAAACATATTTCTTATAGAAAGAAAAGGGTAGCTACAAGTAAAAACACCAGACTGGCTCACAAAGAGTTGAAGAAATAAAATTAAAGAAAAGCATCATACATTTAAGGAATTTAAACTGACTGGTATGACAGGAGATTTAGAAGATTACAGAATATCAAAAAAGTTAGTGAAACAGGAAACTAGGACATCAAAAAGGATGTATGAGAAAAAATTGGCTGAAAATGTAAAAATTAACAATGACGATTTCTTTAAATACAGTAAGGGTAAACAAAATGTTCGGATGGGGATAGGACCCTAGAGGGATGATAAAGTAAGGCTAGTATCTGATGATTATGATATGGCTGGGTTATTAAATTTTGCTTTTTACTAATGAAGATTTAAGCAGTATTCCACATCTTGATCAGTTAACAAATGGAAACAAGATCAAACAAAATGACTGCATTAATTCTGATCTGGTTAATAGAAAATTGGGTAGTTTAAAAAACGATAAGGCTCCTGGGCCAGATATTTCTTCAAGAGTTTTAAAGGAGGTTAAAGACTGGATATGTGAGCCACCTACTACTATTTTTTGTCAGTCCTTAAATAGTAGGCAGGTACCAAAGGATTGAAAGTTAGCTAATGTAACTCCTCTTTTCAAAAGAGGTGATAAAAATTGTCCCAGTAATTACAGACCCATTAGTCTGACATAAGTTGTGGGAAAAGTTTTGGAATGTCTGTTAAAAGATGCTTTGCAAAGTCATTTAACAAAGTTTAGAATTTCATTGGATAGTCAATATGGTTTCATTAAGGCAAAATCTTGCCTTACAAATCTTTTAGCATTCTTTGAAAAGGTTACTGCTTATGTAGATGAGGGTAAGGGTGTACATTTGGTGTATCTGGATTTTCAGAAAGCATTTGACAAGGTGTCACATAAAAGGCTTGTAAAAAAATTAGCTCTATAGGTGTGGGAGATAAGTTAGCAAATTGGACAGAAGAGTGGCTGGATAGAAGAAAGAAGAGCATTGTTACAAATTCAGTCAAACTGGATTAATGTCACAAGTGGGGTACCTCAGGGCTCAGTCTTAAGACCTTTGCTCTTTTTGATTTACATCAATGACAAAGGTGAAGGGATAGTCAATAAATTACTCAAATTTATAGATGATATTAAGGTTTTGGGTGTTGCTAGCTGTGAAGAGGATGCTGCTGATTTACAAAAGGATTTAGATCATTTAGTGAGTTGGGCAAATAAATGGCAGATGGGTTTTAATTATAATAAATGCAGGATAATGCATGTGGGTTATCATAATTTGAATTAAAAGTATAATTTGGATGGGAATAACTTTAATAGTGTTACGAAGGAAAGGGATCTTGGTGTACTAGTTGATCAGTCTCTAAAGTCATCCAAGCAGTGTGCTGTTGCTAGTGCTAGGGAAAATAGGATTTTAAGTTGTATCTATAGAAATATTGAATACAAGTCTAAAAAGGTTATACTTTCATTGTACAAGTCACTGGTTAGGCCACATTTGGAATATTGTGTTCAGTCTTGGGCTCCTTACCTTAGGAAAAACATTGAATTGTTGGAAAGGGTTCAGAGAAGAGTTATTAGAATGGTGCCTGGGATGGAGGGGTTGTCATATGAGGAAAGACTGAAATATCTCAAATTGTTTTCTCTTGAAAAAAGAAGAGTTAGGGGAATCTGATTGAGGTGTTTAAGATTGTAAAGGGAATTGATAGTGTTGATGCATAATCTTTTTTATATTTAACAATGAGAATAGTAGGACTAGGGGCAACAAGTAT